TGATTACATCTCATGAGTATATCTTTCAAATCTGTTCCTTAAAGCAGTATTTGTCACTCTCAATTCTGAGAATTTGGAACATTCAGCTATTTTTGAAAATTACCTTTCAGTTGGGGAGACAGTGCATGGCGCTAATCTCACCAAGTTAAAGTACCAAGGATGTAGTCTTGACGATGAAGATAATTGGAATCAATTTAGAAATGGTAGTATATTGTGTTTTTTGCCTTCAGTGTTTGAGTTTCCACTAAGATTCTTTGTGAAAAATGAAATGACCTGAGCGGGTTTCTTTTCATGTAGCTGTGCGAGCAACAATTAGAGAAACTCCACCATCTGCAGCTGGGTAAATTTTTCTTGCTGTTTATATTATCCATCTCCTATTATGTTTTACATTCATGACCATGCAAAGATTTATATACTGCAGGAAAGGATACTCTCCGGCACCTTCTCCACGACTTCTCCAGCAATATGGAAAATTTTCATTCTCCGGGACAACACCAAAAAAGGAATTAGGTATCTTCCCGTCATTTTCTTGCATTACAATACTTAATGCTTATAATTTTCCACCTTCTCTTTCTCAGTGGTGCTTGTAATTAATTTATTTTCTTCTTCTTGTTGTACCCTTTGGGCGTTAATGTACCAGCAGACAAGCGAACAGTTTCACCACATCGGTTTCCTCTTTTACGAACTGTATCCCTTGCTAGTCGACCGACTACCCCCAAAAGTTCTAGGCCAACCACCCCGAATAAAAGTCGATCTACTACTCCAAACCCCTCCAATGAGAGACGGGTAATTACTTGGTCTTTTATATTTTACATTTGTTTAATATGTTAATATTCAGATCTAGTCTTGATAAGTTTTGAAGTGCTCTGGTAACATTGTGCTCCTCCAACCTGCTCCGCGAGTTGTCTTGTTCGTAGTTGATTTTCAGGTTTTTAACTGTTAAATTGTGCTTTACCAGTACCCTGCAAAATCAGCTTCAATGCGGCTTCATGTGGACAATATAAACACCAAAGACGCGGAGCAGCACGCCAGCAAAAGTAAACGTCTGCTTAAATCTTTGCTCAGCCGACGCAAATCAAAGAAAGATGAAACACTATATACATACATAGATGAATATTAACAGTACAGGTTCAAAGAAGACGAAAAGGAGGTGTGATAGCACTTGCAACACGAAACCAGGAAAATGCTTTATTGTTATTGCACTAATGCTTACTCTTCTCCAATTGTTTACGGAAAACCGGGGACATGCGGCGTTGTTATTACACTGCTTACCTTTCCTCAATTGTATATTAAATTTTGGCAATGTATTGGCAGTTTGTAAACCCGATTATAAGGAATTGATTAGTTGTCTTGTTCATGGTCTTGAAAGATTATAAAGTGATATAGCAAGGATTTTAGGGGCTGGCTGGATAAAATCTGAGTTGAAGTTGAAAAAAAAAATTGAAGTTGAAGCCGAAAAAAAGAAATTGTGGAAGTTGAAGTTGTGTTTCGATATTTGTAGTTTTTTGGAATAAAATTTTTGTAAAAGTTGAAGATATGAAAAACTTTACTTAGCTACTATTTGGACTTGAAATTATCAATAAATGCAGAAACTATTTGGACTTGAAATTATCAATAAATGCAGAAACTTCAGGCCAGTGTGTGTTTGCACATGGGAAGGTGACAAACTAGCCTATCCATTGTCGCTCTCTGTCATTTTTGCAACCGTTATCCTCTATAACTTCCATAATAGATTTAAAATATGTGATGAACTCTCCCAATATTCTAAATATATACTAATTATAAACGAGAGCCAACGTTATAACCATTTGAAAGTATTTTCTTTGAAGAAGACAGAAGCATCAACTTTACCACATAATTCTCAATTTTATATAAAATAATGTATCTGCAATTTTTTATTAGTCAAAGACATCCTTAGCATTGTGAATGCCTTCTTTACTTTTTTCTGTGCCCTTTGAATCACTGAAAATATACTTAATGAAATTCCTGTGCAACTTTTGAAGTATAAGGAATACAAATATCATCTGAACTTTACTTTAAGAAAGAGGGTATACATATACTTTATCACGAGATTTTGAGCTGCAAGAGGTTGCTTGAGCATCTTTGTTAAGGCCAAAATCAAGTGCTACTCCGTTGAGGGCTTCTTGTAGTTCCAGAGAAGTACATGATAAAGATCAAATAGATGAAGATAATCTGAAAATTTAGATTATTAGCGGGGAGTATCCCACATTCAATTACAACAGCAAATGGTTTTCTCTCTATGGCACAGTTAATAAAATAAAAAATGTTCAACAATACTCAGTAGAGGTCTCTATTCCTTCTTTGGACCAAATTCTTCAATAGTCTTTGTTGCGAGTGTGAGTACATCTAC